GAAATAGCAATCCAAAATCCTCCCCTCCTTATTCCAAATCCTGAAACTGACTGACCACTCTATTTAATTTGGAAATAAAGAGTTCTGTGTACTTTGAAAGCTCAACAAATCTTAAATGTTATTGAATCAGAACCCTTGGAGGAGGAATGGGAAAGAGATTTGATACAGATGATGCGAGGGCACAATGCATCATCTTAAATTCAGTAGGAGATAAAGAATTACCTCTTGTGTTGAATCGTGGAACTACTAAGGAAATATGGCAGAAGATGCAACAAAAGTATGCTTTAAGGACAGTGAAGCAGACTTTGTTTTAAAGATGGAGGTTTTATAACTCTAAGCTCCATGAAGGGGGAGGACATGTCTACTCATCTAGGTGCAAGTGGAGGAGTGGGGAATCAAACCCAGTTCTCCCAGATTAGAGTCCGCACACCTAACCCCTACACCAAATTGGCTCTCTAATGAAACAGAGTATTGCAGCAAGGAGTTCCAAAGGTTCCTGGAGGAGGAAGGAACAGAATGGCACTGTTGAAAGGCTTAACAGAAGCCTGCTATAGATGGCATGCTGCCTATTCCTACGCTGGCTTGCCTGTCCCCTGCTGGGCAGAAGTAGTAAATACAACTGCTTACCGGCATAACAGAATTCCTCAAAGGTCACTGGGAAAACACCATTTGAACTGTGGTTTGGAAAGAAGCCAGTCCTAAAGCATTTAAAGGCATTTGGCACAAAGGCATATGCACATATTCCTAGGGAAAGTTTTTTTTTGAAAGAGAGGGAAAAAAAGACACCAGAGCTGAATTGGGAATCCTTGCTGGGTATGCTCAAAGTGCAAGAGGATATAGAATTTAAAGTATGTAAAGTGGTGCACACTGATAAAAGCAGTGTACTCCAAGCTTCTGAGCATATAGAGTCCACAGTGCAAAGCAGCCAGGAATTTGATGAAGTTTCTTTTACTGATATGGCCAATTAGCTACCTGCCAGAGCTGCCATTCAACAACAGACCCCTCAATCAGAAGGGGAGGCAGGGGAAACTGGGCCAGAAGAGACACAGACTGCTGTGAAATACAAAGAAGCAATTTAGGAGTACTACCACTGAGGTTTTCTCTTCATGCAAATGTGCAGTCTGTAAATGAACCCTCAAGCTGGAAAGAAATTATTGACCTACGTGCACATGAAAGAAACAAATGGGTGGATGCAGCCAATGAAGAGTTTGAGTCCTTGCAGAGTAATCAAACATGGACACTAACTAAGTTACCTCCTGGAAGAAAAGCTATTGGATGCAAATGGATGTTCAAGGTGTAACACAGTACTGATGGCAGTGTGGAAAAGTACAAAGCATGTTTGGTGGCAAGAGGGTTTACAAAAAAAGCTGGGACTGATTTTTCTGAAACTTTTGTTTCTCCATCAGGACTCTTCTACGTATAGCAGCATCAAGAGGGATGCATGTTGATTGTCTGAGGAAATTTAGGTTTTCAAGAAAAAGGAAAAGAGAATCTTGTATGCAAACTTCAAAAGAGCATCTGTGGACATAAACAAAGTTGCCAGAGCTTGGAATGAAGTTAACTTTATGTTGTTGACGGCTTTCATGGCTGGAGTTCATTAGTTGTTGTAGATTTTCCGGGCTGTATGGCTGTGGTCTTGGCATTGTAGGACCTGACATTTTGCCAGCAGCTGTGACTGGCATCCTCAGAGGTATAACACAGAAAGATGGAGTACTCTCTGTGTCAACGTGAGAAGAAAAATGGTAGGCAGGTAGATATAAATTACCTGCCTACCATTTTTCTTCTCACCTTGACACAGAGAGTACTCCATCTTTCTGTGTTATACCTCTATAAGGATGCCAGTCACAGCCGCTGGTGAAACATCAGGTCCTACAATGCCAAGACCATGGCCATACAGCCTGGAAAATCTACAACAACTAAAAGTTAACTTTGCTACTGCAATGTCAAGGCTTTCAACAAGGAAAGACCAAACCCTGTCTATTCTCAAAGCTTAAAAATGAACATCAGTATGTTCTCACTTATGTTGATGACCTGATTTTATGCTGCCAAAACAAGGACGATGTGGAAGAAACTGCTGAGGACTTAAACAAAAAAGTGTAAGTAGAACCTTTGGGAGAAGTGAAGCACTATCTTGAAATACAAATGGGAAAGGCCTGAAAACGGAAGCTTTTTTCTGAACCAAAAACACAAAATTCTAGACCTTCCTGAATCCTTGGGCCTAAAAGATGCTAAAAGAGTTAGTACTCCGCTTGAACCAGCTTCCCCCAACCTTAAGGATGGAGTACTGCTTGAGAGCAACCAATAATACAGAGAAGTAACTGGCAAACTTCTGTACTTCAGCACAGTGTACAGACCTGACATACCTGTAGCTGCTGGAACCCTGCGCAGAAATTTCACCAAATCATTATGACTGGAACGTAGTAAGGAGACTGGCTACATATCTCAAGGGAACAGCTGACCTGAAACTAAAGATCTCAGTTTGTGGCAATGCAAGACTGATTGGATACATGGATGCTGACTGGGGTGAAGACAAATTTGACTGCAAATCAACTGTTCTTCTGTGGAAACAGTCTGATTAGCTGGACTAGTCAAAAGCAAACACTAGTTGCAAGATCAACAACTGACGCTGAATACATATCTGTCTCAAATGCCTGGAGTGAACTTCAATGGATCATCTGTCTACTGAAAGACTTTGGTGTTAATGAGCCTAAACCAATAACCTTGTTTGAATACAATCAAGCCTGCATAGCCTTATCAAAGAGTGAAAGCATCGAGGCAAGAAGCAAGCACATCGCTGTCAAATATCCTTCTGTGAGAGAGATGCAACAACAAAGACTGATTGAACTCAAGTATTGTCCTTCAGAATAGATGATTGCTGACATCCTCACCAAGCCTTTTTCAAAGGGAAGTTCGAACAGCTGTGCAAAAAACTGAGCCTTCATAAGTTCAGTGTGTGACACTTGAGAATATGCAACTTCAGTCATGAAAGAGTTAATCTGTTGCTTGTGTTTATAAATAGTAATTAGTTAGCATTGACCAATTAGAGACTGTGTAGAAGTTTCCGCTAGAGAAGTAAGAGGTAGTATTCTAAACAAGGGGATCTAAGTTTATCTATTGGTTAAACAGTTTTATTGGGGTTATTGCATGCTTTTGGTCACGTAGGCGGTTTTGGGGAACTTTCTGTTTCTTTATTGATCAGAAGGATTTTAGCCAACATGGCATTTATATCAGGAGAAGATAGACTCTTTGATCTTTATTTCTTTTCAATTCCAATATACCCTTCCCTCTTTTATCTCTTAGTAAAGTTTTCTTTTTAATTAAACACACATGACTATGTGCTGCTTTTATTCTGCTGTGCATTTTTAGTGCTCTGCTAATTTTTTTCCAACAATGTCCCCTGCAACTGGCCCCTGATGTGGTTTGCACAAAGTATCTGCTAAATCGAGTGAGGACCAAACTACGTGTTATGTTATGATGCCACTGCAAAGTGGATGTTTTTGTGGACAATAAGTGCATGAGTTCTATGTCTATACATCCCAGTTTTGTGTGAAGCGAAAATCCCGCTTGTGGAGATTCAAGTGTTCATGGTACAGGAACAGGGTCTCCTGTCTCTCCATGGGGGAGGTATATGAACTTTCACTTTCCCTAAAACCTGTAAGTGTGCACAGAGTCACACAAGCCCATTTTTTGCTGCTTCTGGGTAAAGTGCAAAACAATTATTTTGTAAGCAAAGGATGAATCTGCCAGCCTTGTATCACAGCCCACAGTGTGCTTCAGAACCTCTTTATTTTTACATTCCCAGGCAGGCAGAGTAAGTAGGAGTGTTATCACATTCCCAGTGGGCCCACACACATGGATGGTTGGTTGTGTTGGGCTTATCAGGGGAGGGGCTACAGTTCAGTGGTAGATCATCTGCTTTGCATGCAAAGATCCTAAGTTCAGTTTCCAGCATCTCCAGTTAAAAGGATCAGGTGATGTGATCCATCTGAAACTCTAGAAAGCTGCTGCCAGTCAAAGTAGACAATTCTGACCTTGATAGACAACGGCTGCGGGCACACGGGCAGGAATATGCGGGGGGGAAGCGTGGCTGTTTGCCCCGGGGCAAAATAACGTGCGGTTGCGCCAGCAGACGTACCGTGGAGGTCCCATGGAGATCCTGTGGTAGGGGGGAGGTGCCGAGCACACCACAATCCTGCACCGCGGCAAAGAAATGGTGTGGCAAACGGGTGTTTTTTTCTCCGGACACCAAAGTGTGTGCTTGCCCTAATGGGTGCTCGTGCGCATCCCATGGACAGTTGAAAAAAAACCACCTTTATACGAGGGGGCATGGGCGGGCGCCGGAACTACCACTGGAAACGCGATCAGACGCCCGCCCTTGCCCCACGGTTACCGGAAACTAGTACCTCCGAGGTACTAGTTTTTAACCGCGCATCTTCGGCGGGAAGCCTCGGGTTTGCCACGGGAGCTCTACGCTTCCCAGATGTGGCAGTGAGATCGCGCCCGGAAAATCAGCCTATCTTCCGTCTCTCTAGCGTGCCTAATGCTCCATGTGACCGCAGCCTACAATCAGTATAAAGCAGCTTCATGTGTTGATGGGTCCCAGATCATGTGAGCCTGGCTTAAAAACAGAGAAATCTCCAACTCCTCATCTCTCCTTTTCTTTTGATTCCTCGGTTGATGGCTCTATATTTCTCTGCAGCTGTCTGTCGATCCGGCTAAGGTCCTGAGTCTTGTGTGATTGGATACAGAGACTCTTGATGAATGCCTAGGAATGAATAGCTCATTTGGGCAGACCTTGCTCGGCACAGGTCGCTTTCTCAGCAGAGCAGTATCTGCATCTCATAATTTACCCTGACATTCCAGTTCCCAACTTCCTCCTACGTTCTCCCTTTATGTGCTATGAATAGCAAGAAAATGTGGTTCTGCTGGAAATTAAGGCCATGGCCCATGTGGCTTATGTTCAGGGCATCGTACATGCAGAGTTGCCCAGGGTGGCCAGCTGGAACAGAGGGCAAGGTTCCTGGGACCTTCGACATCAGCACAGTTGTTTGGCAGGTAGGCCTTGTCATTTCAGAATGTCAAAGGGGGAGAGAATAGCCACACCGGCCAGGATCCTCACAATGATGAGAGACGCCAATATTTATTCTTGTTCTTCTTTATTTTTACATTTTACACCCTGCCTGTCAGTGGTACTCTCAAGGCAACCAACAATAGAAATTAAACATTAGTCATCATGACCAATAGAATTGTTTTAAAAAGAACATGGAATACCAACAACGAATAAAACACCACAAAATTAAACAATCAACCCCCCCCCACACACAAGTAAGGGCTAAATACTTAAAAGTGACCAGTGCCCCCCAACTCATACTCAAGTCAAAACCTGCAAGCATATTCCAAATGGAAAAATAGCCAGCTGAAATGTCCCTCAAAAATAGTATTTACATGTCTTGGAAAGGTAAATATTCTACAGAGCCAGTGGTGTGCGGTGGGGAGACCCCGGTTAAAACCCCTGCGAAGCTAACAAATGAACACAATACACAATTGTGAGGGTGGGGCTGGACTAAGACATGCTGAGGACTGAAGCTGTGTCAAATTCCCCCGCATAGCATTATCCCCACTCAAAAGGAAAATTTAGTAATTTTGCGGTTTGTTCATTTTTAATTGCAGTTTCCTACTAATCTGAGGTCCTAAATTGTCACTTACTTAGCTTTTGTATACATCCAGCTCTGTGTGAGGATAATATAGGACAAACTCCCCAAGCTCCTTGGATGAGGGTTGGTTTGCAGATGAGGTAAACAAGGTACATCCTCCTTTACATGGTGCTGGGTTTCATATCCTGCAAATGCTGTGCTCTGGATCATGCTTGTTTTGTCAAAAGATTCACAGTACTGCCTGAAAGTAATTTAGCATTTGAATTAGCATTTCTTTGTGCCAGATTGGGTGAGTTTAGGGGAAGACACAAGGGGGGAAGCAGATTGCCATTTTCTTTTCTGACAGAGGTCTTGTGCCTTCAGCCGCTGAGTGTGACAGGCAAGGGTTCAACAAAAGCAGCACTTCTCAGCATGGCTGTCCAGTGATGGGGAAAGCTGGACCTGTGGAATATTTTACAGCTGTTAAATAAACCAGGAAAGGAATAGTGTTGCCAGCTTTCAAACCCAACCCTGCACCTATGCCTTTAACAGCAGGTTGATATCTGGCAACTGGTTGGTAAGAAGTGATTTACTTCTCCTCCTTTTCTCCCCCATGGGGACCCAAAATGGCTTACAATATTTCTCCTCCATTTTATCATCACAGCAACCCTGTGAGGTTGGTTAGGCTGAAAGTAGGACTGGCCCAACTTCATCCAGCAAGTTTCCACGGCAAAGTGGGGATTTGAACCTGGGCCTACCAGATCCTAGTCCAAATCGCTACACGCTGCACCACGCTGGCTGTCAAACTACACTGAATTTCTGCTCACCATGCTGCAGTTCGGTGCGCAAGAGCTAGCCAGTTCACCTTTTTCCTGATCAGTTGGCAGGTCCTAAGAAGCGATACTCCTAAAAATAAGTAAACAAATATAGTTAATTATTTCAGTTGTTGGGGCTACTTAATTATTTTTCACTATTTATTAAATGTCAGTATTTACCTCAAATGAAACATTTGGGCATGTATTCACCACAGACTTAAAACTGCTTTAATTCTCCAGGGAACCATGTTAAACTGTAGTTGGGAGGTGGGGGTGGGGTGGGGGAAGCTGCAGCTATGGATCTCCAACTGAGCACTCAGCTCCTCCACCCAACTACAAGTTCCAGAATTCTTTGGGTAAGCCATGGAAGGGAAAATGTTATAAAAACTGCTGTTAAAAGTGTGGAGTGAATACATAGTTCTTATTTGTCTTCCTAAAATATAAGCTTTTTCTACCCTTCAAAAGTAATTGCACTATATTTCCCCCCACATCAATGAACAATTGTAGCAGGGACAATTTAAAGAGAATTCTAAATCTCCATGTGGGTAGCCGAGGTCAACATTCTAACCTTAACTGTGCTTGAACTTGATATTGCGGTAATAAAAGCAGCAATATTTTTTACTCCGAGATAGCTTTCATTTGATGTACAAAACAATGACTTTTATTTTATGGCATATAAAAGTGTGGCTGTATCACAGGCTATACAACTTGGCAAGTCATCTGGCAACCCCTCCCTTTCACATATTACGTTTTCAGGGGTATACTTATAATCTTTTAAACAGTATGCTTAAATAGGTCATGTAAAAATGCGACAATCAAGTGTTTGAAAGGCTGTTTTTCGTACAGGCATGTTCATCTGAAATTCATTGTGGATCCCTGTTTATATGGGATGACAGGCCCAGGGTTTTTGCCCTACAATGTGTGAAACAGTCCTCAGTATTAGGGTGGTAATTTGCAAATGGCAGTATTTTGCTACAGGGGGAAAAAAGAAATTTCTTCATCCCAACATTGTATTGGTGCAGGCACTTTTGTTGCTCAGAAAAACAGAAGCAGGCTGAGGGGCCTAATGTTGCATAGATTCAGTGGAAGGTGAAGAAGGAGTGAAGAGTTTCAAGGAGAACTGAGTGTATATGAAGGGAGAACTGGTGTGGCAGATACCGGGAAATGGGCAGCATTTTTTAAAACTGTTTTAGAACTGCTGGAGAATTCACTTGGGCAGGGGATGGATCAGGTCTGTATTGCAGGTTCCCTCTAAGCTGAGTTCGTGTGAGCTAGCCCACAGTTTTTTAGCCTCTGGCTCACACATTTTTGTCTTAGCTCAGGAAAGATGGTTCCAGAGCAAACAAATGTATGCATTAGCCAAATCACCTGCTCACAACTTTAATGCCAGTAGCTCAGAAAGTAGAATTTTTGCTCACAAAGCTCCACAGCTTAGAGGGAGCATTGCAGGTAACTGATCACTGGCAACAAGGCCTGTACCTTTCTGCCTAATACCACCCTGTGATGGATTGCACAGAAAAGCAGGCTTTTTAAAATGCTGCTTGTATCAGAGTCAGGGAGTGCAAGCATTAATCTACCCAGGAGATAAGAACTTATGTGATTGGCTGCTCTACTCGCTCTCTGATTGGCCAACATCTGCTGAGAGAGGAAATAAAACAGCTGATCCAGTGGGAAAAGGGGTCTTTCACAATTTGGTATTTGAAATCTAACGTCTGGATCAGTAGCCAGAGGGTTTGGCTTCTGAGGGAAGAGACATTTGGGAGTCAGTGTTTTCTGACAGGTCCGAAAAATACTTCTACAGAGAGAAGAGAAAACCTTTTGTCTTATATTAAAACTGCTCTGAGGGAGAATTTAGATTCTCAGTCAGGAACGCTACAGAACAGCCTTATACAGACAAAAGATACTGTAGCAGGATTTAACAGAAGGTCTGGGTTGTTAGAGTGAACTCCCATAGAAGCCAAATAGTAAAATGAGGTATTGCTTCTTAGGGACAAGGAGAATAACTTCCTGCCAGTGAAAGGGGTTGGGAAGAGAACCCTGGTCTGTGATAAAGGGGAGAAGCTTAGACACCCCAGGAGTTAGTGAAAAGCTGTAATATCTACAGGAAAACCTAGAACTCTGAAGGAAGAAATCTAGAAACTTTAAACAAATGCTATCCTCCAGAAGAAACATTAATAAGAAATGTGTTAGTGCTGAAATATACTAAACAAAGTACCTCTCAAAGAATTAGAAAACCTTGAAACAAAACTACAAATATACTCTCAAATGTTCTAAAATTCAACTCTGTATATATTTGAAAGTTTTTACCTCAGCAATCTCAAAACCTTTTTTTAAATTGATATTTTATTAAGTGTGTGTATATATATATTTCCAGATATTTTTATGCATATCTTAACACTTCATTTTTCATATTCACCTCTTTCTAAGAATCAAATTAAACATTGAAAGCATATAAGTAATCTCTGTCCTCGTTATCTTATTCCCTTTCTTTACGTGCTTGCCCACACCGCCGTACAACTTCCTCTAATTCATGATCTAAACATTATTACATTCTTCTTTAAGTTATTCAAATCTTCTATACTTCTTTTGCTGGGTTCCCTCCGTACATCCTTATTTTATACTTATAGTCTGTCTTCTTCCATACCTATAATGGAATGTTGAACAGGGTTGCCTCCGAAACTGGGTGCTGCAGAGGGAGCCTCTGCAACAGGAGGAAACCCTCCTCCCTCTTATCAGAGGTCTTGGGGGGGCACACCCTTCCCCTCCTTGCTATGCCTTTGGCTTTAACTATTCCATTCCTATTGTCTATTTTCCATTATTATTCCCACTTATCCTATCTACTAACTCTAACTTACTCTATATATTAACATACTATCATACTAACTCTAACTTACTTTATGGATTACATTCTACCTCTCTGCTTCAAAACATAATATCACAGTTCAAACACTTCCATATTTGGTTACTGCCTCTACTAAATTTTTCCCTGTAATTTCATTATATGCAGTGAACGTTTTGTTTTCCAAATTAACCACGAGATGTCCGAGCGGCAACCATCTATGCTGAATTCCTTTGTCTCTGAGAATTTTTGCTGTTTCCTTAAGACATCTTCTTGTGATGATTGCCTCAGCTGGAATGTCAGGAACAGATACACAATCATGTCCTCCAGGCTCAGTCCCTGCTTGTCTCTTGCGATTCCAAAAAGTTTATTCTTTGTCTGGACCTGTTTAAATTCAATGATAATATCAGGGGAAGCATTTTCAGGAGCCTTTTTGGGGATATTTAGCCAGAAGGCAGAGCTGATGATCCCTTCAGAAGACACTGCTTCTCCTGCTCGTAGAAGAATCTGAGTCAGCCATTTGTTTAAAGCCGCAGTGAGATTTTCTTTTTCACCAGAGTTTACAGATACTCCACGGAGTTTAACCTTCTTTTCTTTCAGTTTTATTTCCTGGAGTATGATCTTATTCTTGGCCCATATCTCAAATTCCTTAAATTCTTTAATGTCGTCTGCATTCTTTTTTGCCGAGTGAAATGCTGATTCAGCTTTCCTCTCTGTTGTTTTCAACACTGCGGTGAGCTTGTCTAATTTCTTTTTTATAGGCTCAATTGTTTGTTTGAGCAGCCCAAATTCGTTTAACTGTCCAACCTCTCCACTCAGAGACTTTAAATCATTCTTGATTTCGTTCCTTATCTCTGTTAAGGCATACAATAACACAGTCTGTTTGCTTTGGTCAGGGTTACTCCCCCCTGCCGCCATTTCCTCTAACAGAGATTCCTCTAGGTCTGAATCATCTGTTTGTTCAAGATCAATATTACTCTTTTTGGGAGGTCTATAAGGAGGATTTTTAGTACCTTTTTTTGCTCTGGTCCTTCCCATAACTGGCATTGGTATTTGTTCCAAACTTGGCTGTATTTTCTGGAAGCAGAGCTCTAATTTTTCCGTGGGAATAGCAGGAGCTGGAAGAAATGTAGTTCAGCCACCACACCACCACCCCCAGTCTCAAAACCTTGACTATTCCTATTATATGTATATTCCATGCCTAATAAAATCGTTATTCTGTTTTTGTAACTTAATTTGCCTCAAGTGGCATTTCACAAGGATTTATAAATTAAAAACGGGACAGCTCTGGTGTTTCCCTCAAGTTCCTGTACTGGGTCTAAAGCCTAAAGCTATATCTAAACAAAGGATGGGACAGTTTCAAGTTTATATCAGTAGAGAAGAAATACAGCTACTGTAGGGCAACTCAGTCACTGAGGGGAACTGAAGATTTGGCAGGAAAAATCTGTCAGACAGTTGGGGAGATACAGGGGTCCATCATACACCCCTTCATCTGCCTAGCCCCATCCTGAATTCTTATTCTTGATTACACTGGAATGTGATAGAAGTAGATATTGCATTTGTACATACAGAGAAAAATATTTTGCAGCTATTTGTGCTTTTCAGGTATCATCTCCTACCCAGTTTAGGAATGCATGACAGATACAAATTAATGAATTGGATTATCAATAAAATTTGGTGACTCTGAGATTGACTGTTCCCATTGTTCTCATTGGCAGTTTGGCAGACAATGTTCCCTCAATCTAAAGGTCAAACCACACATCACAATGTACACAAGTTGCAACCATATTGCCGCTGCAAATTCTTAGTGTGAACTCCATTTAAAAGCACTCTGGGGGCCTGATTCAGATGGTACCATTTAGATTCAGGAAAACAGTGCAGGGGGAAAGAAGGCACCCCCCCTCCCCCTGCCCTTTAGTTCCACTCTGAATTGGGTCCCTGTGGAACGTCTAATGGAGTTCCCAGTGGAAACACACAGCCACAATATGACTCATATGTTGTGGTACATTGGCTGTGGTCACACACACTGTATAACCCACTTTCAGTTCACTTTCCAGCTGGATTTTACTGTGTGAACTGGCAAAATCCAGTTGGAATGTGCATTGAAAATGGATAATTTAGTGTTTGTGACTGCAACCATATTTTGGCCCTAAGACACGGGCTACATTCATGGAGACATCAGAAGTATTCAGGCCCTTCCACACCAGATAAAGATCTCAAATGTGTGCACATGACTGTCTTAGAAGGCACCT